TGTTCATTATGTTCATTAAAGATTTGACTTCAGGATGACAAACAATATACATTCTTCACTAAGTTTTCAATTTCAGTAAATTCACATCCTTGTTGCTCTTTTTAATTATCTACTTTGTGTAATAATAGTTTTAGTTTTGTTACTGTTTTATGTCATATAGCACAAATCATATCATGCTTATATAGGGGTTGTTCATTATGTTCACTATGCTATATTACTTGATCACACACATAGCGATTACATTTTTCATAGTAGGATGCATTAAGACATTTGTGCACAGACACACATATATTAACAGATATCAAATCAGCACAAATAACACAGACGTAGACGTTGGGATTCGTTAMTGTTTTATGTCATATTGTTGATGTTCATTAGGTTCACAAATCCAAACTTGTATGTATTTGTGAAGTGTTGCGTGTGTGTGATGTTCATTAGGTTCACAHATCCAAACTTGTATGCATTTCGCCAAAATCATCCATCGTTTTGATGAATATTATGAACCAGATTTTTCACTAATGATATACACTATTGATAGTATAGATTGGCAGTTTCGTAGTTGATTGGAGGTTACGAAATCGTCTGAATAATATAGGTTCACGATATGATGCGATTTTTTTTTACAAAATTACCCTTTGAACAGTTGTTCATAGACATCTCATTTAATACATTAATTAAATGATAATTTTTGTAGTCTCATTTAATAAGGACCGTTTGATGAAAAAATGAACGATCAAAATCGGTTAGCATAATTTGCACAATAGTTTGGGTTAGTATTTGAACCAACCCATATATATATATATATATATATATATATATATATATATATATGATTTTGGTCCCTAACATGTTGTATATATATAAATAAATGGATATTATATAGTTAATATATTAATTAAATTTTTGACATTTTTAAACAACTTTTTACAGTATTGTAAAAAAGTTTGAAATGCCACTCATCTAACGGAGTTTTAGCGGCTGTTAGAGGCACAGATCAAATATGATCGTTTTTACAAACCACTATGACAATCTTATGATTTCTAAAATTATAGGAACCAAAAGTGTTATGACCACCAAAACCACAGGGACCAAATTTGTAATTTACTCTAATTTTGTTTCTTAAAACAATCTAATCTTGTAAAATCTCCAACAAATTTTATATAATTTATCTAAAATATATAATCAAAAGTCGACACCTCTAAAAAGAATTAAGGGTCGTTTGTTTATCTATTAATAGTTTCATTAAGAAACAACATCTGAATCGTTAAGAGGTGAATCTTGTTTGGTAAAAAAAAGTTTGTCTCTTAATAGTTTTAAAAGCCTCTGAAATATTTTGTATCATGTGTCTCCCTTAATCATTTAGCGCTCTAATTTCATTGTAAATAATTATCAAACAATTATATTTTATTTTACACTATATCATAAAAGCTTCTTAATTATTCTGACCACTTAATCATTCAGCACCAAACCATTTAACAACTATTAAACAACCACTTATATTATAACTTTAACATAGTTTTCATTTTAGAGATTTCAAATATTATATTAATATATCATACAAAAACACTTTTTAAATATATATATATATATATATATATATAATTATTATTATTCAATTTAATTTATAAAAATAATAAAAAAAAAACTAATTCCTCTCTTTATATATTAAAACATTTTCAACAAATTTTCTAAAATAGATAAAATATATTTTATAGGGGGTGTTTGGGATTGTTTATTTGAAACAACTTATACTTTTCTACAAAAGCACTTATCAACTTAATATAAGTCAGAAAGATTTAACTTCTTCAAAAACTCATTATTACCGGTTTGGCACCGGTATAAGTTGTTTATCCAAATACTCAGAACTGCTTATTACCGGTGTCACACCGAAATAAGTCAATAAGTTGTTTTTATAAGCATTATCAAACACCCCCTTATTCTACCTCCGTGTAATCTATACAAGATTAAAAATTAGCATTTTTTCTTAATAAAAGGTGGTACAGAAGTGTGAAATTAACTATAACGACAATAACAGTATAATTTATGTAATTTTATTATATTTATCAGAGCACGAAATGACTTGAAAGACCTCGAGTTTCGATTTCCCGTCCGGATATTTACTTAAGTGACACGATTACGATAGATTACGATATTTCTGGTCGACTAAAAAAAAAGGATAATCGGTCTAATTTTGTAAAACAGAACAAAGCTCAATGGTTCCATAATCAAGCAGCTCCTCTATCATTTGCTCTATATGTTCATCTTCAGGAGACTTGTAATGCTGCATATTCTCCATTTTACCCTCCCAATTCACCATATTTCCACAGTTGCCCCTGTTCTCCATGAATTCCCCTGTGGGAGACTGCTGTTGGCTTTCTTGATTGTTACCCACCATTGATTTCTTCGCCATTTCAAGAGATGTCATGTGGCATTTATGTAATTTAGCTCTCAAAGTTGCAGAGAGAAGCTTCGAAGAAGAGGACTGTGACCCTTCGGTGTCGTAAGTGAAGTTGGTTCGAGCTCTCGGCCCGCACATCAGCCGAGCCGCTTCATCATAGGCTCGTGCTGCGTCTTCTGCTGTCTCAAATGTTCCTAGCCATATTCTCGTCTTCCTGTTCGCACAAACATAAATATCAGAAAAGGAAATCGTTCTTTGAGGCATATCAACAAACAGTTTGTTTGTGTTTCAAATGATCGATATCAAGATTAGAAATTTACAGGAGAGGGTGGCGAATTTCGGAGACCCATGATCCCCAATGTCTCTGGCGAACACCTCTGTATCGTTGTTGAGATCTAGCCATGGCGATTTGAGTGGTGCAAGAGGGTTCGATGGCGTTTGTCGTGAAGGTGTTTGTGAAAATGTCTCGATGAAAAAACCGTATCAGTGAAGAGACCTGAAGAGTGGCAGATTTTATATGGCTTCTTTATAGGGATTCCGGCCACGTCTTTTAGCCGTCGATCAACGTGGTGGACCCCATCATTTACTTTCTCATTCCTACAGGAAAAATTAAACAGAAAACCCTTCAAAAATATATTCCCTAAAAATATTTTTTTAAATTATCCTAAAAAAAGGAAATTTTCCGTTTCCATTGCAAATCAAGGAACCATCGAAAACGCAACATGTTTATATATTTGTAATGAACGTTTTAGACATGTGATGTATCTTTAACACGTATGGTTCATCGATTTACGATGAAACTGTAGTTCTTAACGAAAACCGTCTCATCCTAAAAAAAAGACAAAACAAAAGGCCAAAATCCTGCAACAATCACCATGTTTCCTGTTGATGAACATCAGGAAAGTAACAAGAACCAACAAAAAGACGTCGAGATCCGGTTTTAATAAACATTCATTTATGTCATCGTCATAATAAAACGGTAGTTGATACTTGATACCTTATACCAACCATGCACATACATGACATGTACTCGATTCAAGAACATCCTACATGTTAAACTTCCTAATCATAGGAAACAAACCCATGTGCCTAATTGGTGAGCTTTACATAAATACAAAATACCACATTCGATGCACATTTACATCTTATTTTTAGTATTAATAATAGATTAGCATATCAGCTATTGTCTCGTAAAACAACATATAATACCTATAATCTTAAAAGGTGTTTATTTGCATCTTAATGGTGCCATTAAGAGGCATCTTAATAGGACATTAAGAGACATCCTCTGAATCTCGTAAAGGTGTGTCGTGTTTGACAAGAAAAATTGAAGCCTCTTAATGGTAACAAAAAGCTCTAAGCACTTTTTTTTACTTGGGTTTGGACAATATGGTTCAGAAGGGCAATTCTTCCATATTTGCCCTCGATCTATTGTCTCCTCCATACGCCTCCACAGTTTCTTCTCGTTCCTACAAAGTTTTCCTAAGTTTTTGGACATTGTTTTGAACAAACAAATCATCAAACTTTTAAAAATTGATTATCTATATACTTTTCAACCAGAAAAATCTATTTGTAGACGGATTGAAAGACTTTAAAGTGAAAAGGGCCTAAATTAGTTTTATTGCTCCCAAACCCTTGCATCCAACCATATCGTTCCTCTTTGCCACCCCAATGTCGTGCGTTCTCCATACTACTCATCGTCACCGTTGGCCCCTACCATTGATCTCCCTTTATTGATCTGTTTTTTTTCCGTCTTTTAATGTTTCCTCTTTTATAATAATTTAATGAAATATATTTAGATAGATTAAAAAGAGAATTGATAGCAGGGGTCAACGACGGTGACGGGTTGGGCAGTCATTGAAAATGAATGATGAATGGTGATGACGGGTAGTGTTAAGTGCATGTATTTGAATGATGTAGGGTTTGAAAACGGTTAAATTGATTTAAGTTCTTTTTTTATGTTAAAAATCTTTTATAGCTGGTTATAGGTAGTTTTTTTAAAATTAAAATGATGTAAATAACCAAATTTTAAAAATTCAATTATTTATTTATTCAAAAAAAAAGTAAATATTTAATCATTCAAAATAAAAAAAAATTTGATCAATTTTTCATTTAAAAAAATAAGAATTAACCATCTATAGTATATTATAAAACATTTGATAAAAACTCTTAAAACATTTTTTATGCATAAAGTACTGTTTATTGATGCATATTACTTAAAATTCAAGATTACAAGTAAATTGTGCATAAGTGCAACTTATTAAAGCTCTATGTTTGAATTCGTGTTACTAACTGCGGATAAACATAATCAAATAGAGGATAAACATTTCATTTTAAAATATAAAAAATTTAAAATATAATAAGGATAATTATTGAGTTATAACTATAATACTTAATTATTATCTTTACAAAAAAATATATTATTAAATCTAAATTAAGTTACTTCGTTGCATTATATTTTATTCAAAAATAAAAACATTATCGTTTTTTTTAAAACCACATAAAATCGTATTATATCGATGTGAATAAAAAATAAAACGAAACATCGAAATGAAAATGTGTTTCGATGCATTACACGAATACCCTTTTAGTTTAAAATAAAAAAAAATACTTTTTTTGAATTTTTTTAATTAACTTTTATATTATATTAATAATATTTTAGGAAATATTAATATCTGAAAAACTGAAGATGGTTGAAAGATTTGACCATGACATGTGTGTTGCATGGGTTTCCATTCACACAGTGAAGTTTGGTAGCATAGCATGCAATTCCAGGATCAGTAGGCGTGATGCAGCTGCAATCTTTGACCACATGTCTACTTCCAGTTACACTTGCAACTACTACCCTCACATTTTTCTTTTATCATAAACCCCTATCAAATTGTTTATAAAAATATTTTATTAATTTATTTTGATATGATATTGATAATAATTTTTTTTAATTTAATTTAGATTTAATAATAGAGAAATTTATTTTTAATTTAAAGATAATAATTAAACATTCTGTTAGAACTCAATAATAATCTAGATTTTTTATATTTAAAATGAATGTTTATCTTATATTTGATTATGTTTATCTGTAATTAGTTACACAAATTTAAAAATAGAGTTTTAATAAGTTGTACTTACGTAAATATACTTGTAATCTTGAATTTTAAGTAATATGCATCAATAAACAATACTTCATGCATAAAAAAAATAGTTTTTATCATATGTTTTATAATATAGTATAGATTATTAATATTAGATTTGTTAAATAGAGAACAATGTTGAGTTAGATGTAATATTTGTTAAAATGGAGAACAATGTTGAGTTAGATGTAATATTTTTGGAGATTTTGATTTTAAAATACTATATATAAAAAAATACATAACATAATTGTTAAAGATGTTTTTAATTAAATGAATTAACAGTTATTTATTAGTATTAGAAGAAATAATGAATCGCCACGTCAATTAAATTTGGGTTTTAGTGAAAACGTCAATTATATGAAATTTTTCTTAACGGTTTAAAATACTTTTTCTATAAAACACATGATAAATTTATACAACGTTCATATTGATGTTATATTTTTAGGAAAATCAATAATGAAATGTAACATCGAATATGGATACTTTATATCCCATACAATACTAATAATTATAGAATCTATTAAGTTCGATGTTATATTTTCATTGTAAATCATATATAATTTTTTCTTGTAATATATGATATTTTTATTTTTTTATTAACATGGATATACAACTCGCTATGTAAGTCAACTAATCCCATAATGACCATTTGTTTTGCGGGTAGCCCGAAGTCGTTGCATTTGAACCTCCGTAGCCACAAGAGGAGTTTTATTCCTCTTTGGATTTGAACCGCGACCTCCAGACACTTTTGACATTTGGAGTTCATGTTCAAACCAATTAGACACCACCCTTATGATTTGATATTTCTATTTAGAGGCTTAATTTAGGGAATTAAGGGTGAGGAATAAAAATGATAACAAGTAATAAGCACTTATAGCATTGAGTTCAATATAATGTGATAAATGATTTCTTAAAAGTGGGTTATCATTCTTTATACTCATTCTCATTTTCATTAATTATAAACGAAGTAAGTAATGGGTTGGATTTTGGTAAAAATAAAAGTTATAGTGAGAAAGGTAAAAATGGATCGGATCAACCATAATTGACGAAAACCATTGAAACAACAGTAATGAGATGAAACAACAGTAATGAAATACATCTGATTAATTTCTTTCTAAATTGCAGTTCATGGATTGTTCTGGGTTAAAAGTGATCAAGAATTTAAATAGGTTTACAAAAATATGTTATGATGCCTTGTGTTTGAACTTCATTGGCGTTATTATATGTTGTTTTGAAAATCATGACTTGCCTTTACCAACTTTATCATTATATTTCCAAAATATATATGCTCTCAAAAACTCGGGATAAGTTAAGGAGACGTTTACTAAACACTTACTCGATAAGTGTTCACCGGTTAAATTTAACACTATCATTTACTTACCGGGTAAGATTTTTGTCCATCAAAACGGTATCGTATGCAACAATTTACCGGTAAGCTCTTACTGTGGTAAGAGTCATCGCCCTCACTCACCGGATAAGACTATTGGTCCTTGTCTCGCTCTTACCAGGTAAGATTCTTGGTCCTTACCACATTCATCCGGTAAAGTAATTTGACTTGTTGTTCACTTATTCGAGTAAGTATTTGCTAAACCGTAAACGGCCCCTAAATATACTTCTATATATTGTTAAATGCCTATTTACATACTAATTTTCTCCTTAAATATCTTAATATCAAAACATATTTTTTTATATTTTTAATACATAATTTGACTTGATTTTAACGTTAATTAGGATGTATTTAGTAATGTACTAGAAGCGTACTCACGCAATGCAGCGAGATACATCGTGTTTTTAATATTTCATTTTATTATTTATCTCAGTCGATGTTATATGGCTTTATGTGATTTTGAGAAAGCGATGATGTTTTTATTTTTGAATAAAATATATGTTTGACGATATCATAAAAATTTGACAAAAATATATCGATATTAG